CGAAGCTTATGGGAAACTTTACCTCGACTTGAGACCAACTTGAGTTGCAACCATAGTCACGGAACGGATTAAGTTCGTAACTAGAGGTACCACTGTATATGAAAAAACCCCAAGCAAAACCAATATGTGTGTGTGTTTGTGTGTGTTCCTGTAGGCTGAAAAACTTCTTGCTTGGGCAAATGCAGTTGACTTCCAAAAGAAGCCAGGTGGGGGAGGGTAAATTTCTTTTCCAAAACTTCCCTAGCACATTTGGTTCCAATACTGAAGCATGTGGCAATAATAAATAGCATACAGGAATGAATCTTCAAAGCAAAGTTGAAAGTACAAGTTTTCACTTTCCCCATCTGTGTGTTTGAGGTTTATATCTTCGATATCAAACCCTGGTTTTATTGCTCCTGTGTTAATAAAAGAGGGAGTGGGGGAAGCTTGATAATAAACGAAATGAAACAAAAACAGAGATGCAGCTTCTTGGCAGTTCCAAAATGGTATCAGTCATTCATGACAGAAGAGACGTGATACCAGGCTTTGACAAAGGATGGGTTGGTGAGGACATGGTGGGTTCAAGGCAGTGAAGATGCCAGAGTTTGGAGCGAGGGGAGATGGTGACTTGGACCACAACCAAACCTTGTCCTACTGCAGTGTTGTCCAAACTTGGCCACTTTAAGATGAGTGGACTTCAACTCCCAGAATTCCCCAGCCAGCATGGGAATTCTGGGAGTTGAAGTCCACTCATCTTAAACTGGCCAAGTTTGGACAACACTGTCCTACTGTGAATGTGTGACCCCCAGGCTGTCAGAGAGTCGTTTTTTGAAATTCTCCAAAACTTTCTGAAGGGCATGATTCTCTCCTCGAATATGATAGTAGCCCCACTGCAAAAAAGGGCTTAATAGAAACATAGGAAGCTGCAGACCACTGGAGCTTGTACAAATTGTACAATGAAAGATGCAACATTCAGAGGCCCTTGGCCTCTTCCAATCTAAATAAGTGCAAAAACACCACACTCTATTCATGGGAATTTTACCTAAATTATTTTTTCTTCCTAAATAATTAGATCCGGAATCATCTTTATTTCCAGAATGCCCCTAGATCCTGCCTAAGACCAATAGATATTGTATTGTCGAAGGCTTTCATGGCCGGCATACGATGGCTGGTGTGGGTCTTCCGGGCTGTGTGGCCGTGTTCTGGAAGTTTTGTTTCCTAACATTTCGCCAGCATCTG